TTTTTTTTTTTTTTTTTTATGAAGTTTGAGACAGAGAACTTCATTATGAGGCGACAAATTTTTTTCTTTGAATATTTAAAACATTTATATATGAGATTAACTTGAAATAATCTTGTACTAATTAATCAACATTCTCGTGAGTTTTGGTATAGAGTTTAATTCTATCCATCTTGTCTGAAAAAAAAGAAGAAGAATATATTAATCAAGACACTCCACCATTTAGAGGTTGAGAGCCTCTTGAAAGTTTTTAAGTGAGGTGTATTCATAGAGAAAAAATGATAGAGAAAAGAAGCAATTTGCCACGGAAATATATATATATATATATATATATATACGATTTTTTAAAAGTTGATAATAGATTATTAATCATTGATAAACAATTATTGTTTTTTTATATGCAAAATTATTTTATACCAGTAGGATCATTAAATTTTTTATTTTATTTATCTATTTTATATTTTTTCATTTTATTTCTCACTATTTCTTTTCTAACCTTAATACTTATTTTTTTGTCTCATTAACACTTTACCAAGGTGTCTCCCTGGCACAATTGGCTATTAATTGATTTTATAAAGCCCACTCGCCTTCTGCTCTGTTACTGCTAGTTCAAAATTATGAGGCAGATGCCTTTAATCATGCACTGAGATAGAAAGAGATGAAAGAGAAAATGAAAATATGAAAAGTATCATTGATGTATAGTATAGGTGATGATGAATTGGACCACTGGGATAAAATAACAATGCCTTTAATCATACATCTAGTCCAGGGCTAGATTTACATGCCAACCAAATTCAATGTACATATTTTGGGTCAGTCAATTGTACAAGTTTGCCAACTGCATTTGAAATATTGACACGTTAGTTTTCCCTTCCATACCCACATTTCCTTGTCTTTGCTTTAATTGATCAATTAATAACTTTTTTTAAAGGTATATATTCCCTTGTGCAATTTGGAGAACAGTCCAAGAGAATCAAACAATGTACTAAATGTAGCAGTTGAGTTGTAGACACTACTTTTCCTTTTGGTTGTTGATATCACTTTGGTTCTGATACAATATTTCAAAAAGTTTTCTGCTTCATCTAGTTGTCTCATCTAGGACACAGCTTGGCCTTGATCTTAAAATCTTTGAAAGAAAGGAAAAAAGTATATATAAAGAAAGAGATGGTGTGTCTCATTCTATGTGACGAAACCATAAGAATGACAGACACATTAACAATGTCTATCGATCATCTAACACATTATCTTTCAAATTCCTGTATATATTATAAACTATTGATCTCTTTTTTAAATGTAAGTTCTATTTCGATACAAATTTAAAAGAACTTTGATAACTTTGAGTTAGTAAAATAGAGTGTAAAAAGAAAGTGATTTTGAGTTAGAGTTTTATTAAGTTAAGGATGCTCTTGTTTATTTATTTATTTTACAAAAAAAAAATTACAGAATTATTTTACAAAATAAAATATTGAAAAACTTGTTCGGAAAATTTATCTTTTAAATAATTTTAAAATATAAAAGATAAAAATTATTCGGGTTTTTCATTGAAAGTTGCTTATGATAATTTAAAATTTTTAAATCAATTATAAAATGCGTTGATTATGTTATTATATATAATATGATTAATATCTACCCCCAATTGATTTATCTAAATTTCCTAAACCAATATTATTATTTGTCAAGTCTCAATATATATTCCTTCTAAATGATCTACCAATGTATACCATACCATCACCTCAAGTCTTTAAACAATCATTAAACTCACGTGATAACTCATCTCCCACTACCGCCGTGGATGTGATGGCTAAACTAATCTATGTTTTATGTTAACAAATTATATATCACATAGGTTAAATATTTATTGTATAAATAAAATTTATAATAAATTATAAATATATTTAAAATTTATATAAATAAAAATATTTGCAAATATCTAAAGCTACTTTGTGGTGTGGCTTCTTGATGATTGTGAAACACCACAAAAAAACAAAAGCTACTTTTTTTCCTGGTAGTTGCGCTGCCATTACGGTATCTCCACCCCACCCACTCTTATTTAGAGTGTCTTTGAATTATTTTTTAAATTTTATTAAAATTAATTATAAAATCAAGTTCAAAGTTTAAATAATAAATAACCATTTTATTTTATTTTTTTTTGAATTTTTCATCATAGTATTTAGAGTCAAAATCGATTTTAAGAAGTATTCAACCATACAACTAATTATTTTCAAAATCCATGGCACAATAGGAGGACCATATGATGAAAGGGAAAAAAGTTGCTTGTGAGCTGAATGAATGAAGAGCATTTGAATTATAGTGAAGGTAACGTATATCAGCAGCATAGCAAGGCAAAAAGGCTAAGAAATTTATAGGTAGAAGGTGTGTCTCACACTCATCAAAATCAGAGAAAAGAAAAGAAAAGAAAAGAGCCTTAAATGGTGTCCTATGGAACTAGTGGATCACACCTAAGAAGGTCATCATCACTAGCTAGAGAGGTTCACCTCTATTCTAATCAATATCAATGTGACCAATGAAGCAACTTGACGAAGCTAGGATTCTTGTTTCATAGTGCTTTTCTATTTACAGTTTTTTTGTAAATGATAATAAAAATTAATGGCTTAGGTTGCCATCAAATAAATTAATGGCTTATATGTGAATCACATTATTAACTCAGATATTTATTTATTTTATCTATTAAAAATTACAATTACTATAATAAAATTTATTTTTTCTTTCAAATTTTAAAGTAGCTAAACTTGTCAACGAGCTGGTAATAAATGTTATATGTGGCAGTCATCATTTAAACAGTTACAGCCTTAAATAACTAAAAAAGTATATACTAATTTTACACTCAACATAGGGCCGCCCCCAATGCGAACACAAGTATATATTAAATATAAATAATAATTTTTATTATCAGAAATATGAAAAATAATTAAAAATAATTTAAATCTATACATATATTTTTTTGACTCATTTTCTTATTTATTAGATAAAATATTAAATAAATTTATATTTTAAAAACAATATATATATATATTAATTTTGTTTAATGTTATGTATAATCACATAAAAAAGTATTATTATAAATATAATATATATAAGCATAAATCTATTTAAAATATATTTGCAAGAAATTTTAGTGTTGATTTTGAATTAAATTCAACTATATATATTGTATGACATTATTATATGTTGTTATGTCAACATTTTTTTAACAAAATATCAACATATATTGAACATATAATTTTAATAGAAGTAATTTTTAATATAAAATAATGAGTTGTTATAAAATTTGTGTCATTACTTGATAGTTTTATTTTTTAATTAATATTTAAAAAATTAATAGAATATAACAATACACAAATATAAAATATTCAAAAGTCTTTTTTGGGCTTTGGTGTATTTGAATCGTTAAAATGATTTGGTATGAATTTTAAAAGTCAATGCTTGAGAAACTACCATAAGAAATGCATTCCTTCAACAAAAATTGATTTGTATTATAATAATCACCAATGTCTTACAACTTTCCCAATTGGCTATCGGACTTTATCGATTGGTACGACTCCAAACAGAAATAAATATCCTATATTTTGAGTATCGTTGAAAGTTTCAAATAAAACAATCGTACATTTTTTTAGATTCAAACATAATTCAACTTGTAATGTATAAAAAAATAAAATCCAAAAGGCAACTATTGTCCTATTTGATTTGTTCAGTGGGTCCGTTTAAATTTTATTTTTACTTTAATTTTTTTTAGTTTATTTTAAGACTTTGAAAGCTTTACATTATAAAAGATTTATATCGTTAATTAATAAAATAAAAAATGATTTCTGATATATTATTAAAAATATTTATTTTCAAAGTTAATAAATTTATAATAATAATAAAATTATATTATTGATATATATATATATATATATATTTGAAAGTAGTTTATTAATGTTGATATTTATCGAGTAAAAAGAATTGTTATGGTAAATGAGGTGTTTGTGATCGTACAAGCAAGAAGTTGAAGAATGATGAGTAGAGAATTTGCATATATCCTTTGTAACAGGCAACATTATTTGGTCTCCATCTCTGATAAGGCTAAGTCTCACTCACACCACTCATCTCCAACCCATTTTCACACCTAATGGCTAATACAACAAAATCAGTTAAACAATCAAACTACAAACAACGCAACCTCAAGCGTGTAGTTTAGAGGTTGATTCACGGTTAAGCAAAGTCAGGAGTTTGAATCCTGCCTTGTATATGTAGCCGCGTTAAATTTTGGGACCAAACGTAACAAGAGATTAGTCACTGCTATTGATGGTAGATACTCCGTGAAAAAAAAAAAAAAAAAAAAAAATACAAACAACGCCACTAGATTCTCCCATCTAATTTAATTTCCCATTTTACTTTCTTACAAAGAATTAAAATAAAAGAAATCCTCAGTGTAGTAGGGGCATCCTGGGCAAGACGTGAACGGCGACCGGCTCAAGCCCTTCCGGCAACTTGACGGGAAAAATCCGCGGCGGCGCGGCCGCCACGTCGACGACGGAAATCCCGGAAGGCGAAACGACGCAGAGTTTGCCTTGATGAGCGACGAGCTGTTGGGCTCCCTTGAGTCTGTGATTGTGGAGAATGTCTTCCCAGGCGTCTTGTTGGGGGATGTATTTCCTGAGCGCGCCCTTGGCTTCGTCGACGACGAACATGAGACGTTCTTCCATGGCGGCGACGGGTCCTCTCCAGCCATTGAGCATGCCCTCGGGCATGTCCTTCCAGAAGTCCCCAGCGACGTCGTAGACGACACCCTCTTTGGCGGCGTCGCCTTTGACGTTGACCATGCAGAGGGTGCCTCTCCAGCCGACGGCGTCGACGGCCTCGCGGCTGAACCTGGCGTCCCTGAGCTGCGCTTTGGGCTGCCACTCCCAGGCGGCGGCGTGGGCGAGG